ACAAAGGGATTTGCCTGAAATGTAAACTTCCTCTTTTTTTTCGCCACAGCCTGCACTCTGTCTCTCTCTCTCTGCGGCCCTCCTTGGAAATAAAGTCTCATTCCTCAGAGTCTGTTCTCAGTGCAGCCGCGGCAGGCTGAACTGCTCTTTTATTCAGATGAATGAGGCCCTGTTTAGCCCGGAGAATCAGCCGGACACAGACGGTCCATGTGAAAGCTTGAAGCATGTGTGTTGAAAAATCAGGGGCTCAGTGAGACGGCATCTAAGTTATTACACATGTGCACTTGTTTGTCTCTTTTCACTTTCTATATGTGGGTTTATGGACCTACAGAGTTGGTTTTTCTGGCTCATAAAGCATTTCACATGCCGGCCTTCGTCTCCCTTAAGCTTCGTTCTTCATTTCAACAAGCCGGGGATCGAATGGAGACTGTTGACAGTGGGAGCTTCTATTAAAAGCAGTTGTTTGTTTTGCTCGTATACTGTGTCAAAGCCTGCAAATGAGCGCTCTGCTGTTGCTCCACTGTAAATGCTGTGATTCCTCTCACTAACATTTGATCAATTTGTCTGCCAGGTGGCCGACACCTCCGTCTGGAATAAGGTTTACTTACGTTCATTTAAAAAAAATAAAAAAAAATTGCAATGGTTTTACCAAATGGCTGCTGCAAGCAAGTTTCTCTCTCTTGAGTAGCTCGTGTAGCTTGGCAAAGAGATTAGACATATGTAGCCTACAAGTGTCTTGGTTTTCAGAGTGTTGCGAGGCTGCCAAATGTGACTGTGAATAGCTATGTAAACAAGACAGCTATGTGGGGCTAGACCCTGCAATGATTGCCTAAAGTGAAATACCATTCCTTGGCTTCTTTCACATTTGTACAACTGTGTTAATGATCGCAAACAAAGGCTCGCAGGTTAATTACTAGCTGTCTGTCTGGATTGACTCCAGAGGACGTCTTGATTTTCAGTTGGTCTTTTGTCGCCGTAATTGGGCTGTTTTTGCTTGTACAGAGAAATGTCCGACCCCTTTTCTTTAAAGGTCTTTTTTTTCCTCTGTTGAATGTTGTTCTTTTTAATGCAATAGTCCTTGAATCTACGCCTATCCACAAGCGTAGTTCACCATATTTTAGTGGAGTAATTTCCTTGAGTTACTTTGTTGGGTGATTGGAGAGGATTGTTTTATTGCTTCCCCTTCTCTCAACCCCCTCCAGGCAAAGTCTGTGTTTTAATTAGTCCTGTAAGGCCCTATTTTCCCTTTGGATTCCCCCAACTTGTAAAGCGCTCTCTTAAGAATCCATGAAGGCTAAAAGGGGCAATGAATGATTTGAAGTCAGCTTTTCTTTTTCTTTTTTTTTTTGCTTGCCTGCAAGCAGAGAAGGGGGAGGCCTATCAGCACTTGCCGTCAGTATGAGGAGCAGTAACTTCAAGCAGCAGTCACACAGACTCTTTGTTCTTTATGGGTTTAGTACATGTGGCGAAGAGAGAGTCGCTGCTTTCAAATCCCCATCTGGAAAAGAGCCGCTTTTGCGTTTTTTTTAATATGAGAAGAACAGCTCCTCTAGATAATACCTACCCGAGAACGGTAAAATGGTCTCACTACGGTTCAATCTAGCACATCCGTTTTTTGTTTTTTTTTCCTCCTCGTATTATGTTTTGGCAGCGGGGAAGTTAGCTTGTTACACCATAGAGATTTAGTCATGTGTTAAAGTGGAGTTTCTGAAGTACACCCCCACCACCACCGCCACAACCTAACCCTCCTTTTGGTTTACAAGTCTGTTTTCTTCTCTCAATCCCTTTTTTTTTTTCCTTCAACTTGTCTGCTCATCCCTGGTGAATGTATTAAATTAAGTTACTAGATATGAGTGCTTAAGAGGCCAGGGCCTCTGAGGCTTGCCAAGTCTCTCACAGGCTTGGCTCAGTCATCCATGTCACTTTTTTGTGTTGTTTCAGCTACTGGCTCACTCGCTTGTATCGCCGAAGCACTTTCTCTCTTTCTCTCTGCGTTTGCTGCCTCTGAGTGACTTGTTTTTCCTCCAGTGTGGAGAAATCGGGCTAAAGCAAACTGTGTATGTGTGTGTGTGTGTCAGGCACAGCTTTTGTTAAGTATTCATTTTTAATGAGCGCAAGTGGCTACAGAACCCTATAAACCATAAATGGAGTGGTCAGACCGGGGAGGGGTGAGGAGGAGGGGGCCATGTTGGCCTTTTAATTCAGTGGCCGTCTCGCAGTCTTTTTGTTTAGCAACACTCACATTAATTGTGTTTGATGTGGACCAAGAAAACAGATTTCAAAATGATAGCTTGTGTTTTGCTTTATTGCGCCGTTCTCCTCCTCACACACCCCTCTGGGTTTGTTAGCTCTCACAAGGAATTGTTCTCTTTTAATGATCTTTAGGAAACAAGACTGTGGCAGAAAAGCGTCATTTTCTCTCTCGAGCAGCGCTCGTCTCTGTTAGATTTTGTTTCTTCTGAATTCATAAAGAGGCACCGAGTAAACCGTTTTTTGTTCTGTCGGGATCGAAGGCTCTGTAGCTGCAGAAGGGGGTGCTCAGGGGGGAAACAAAAAAAGGTATTGTGATGGGCCGTTTGAATGCCGAACAGAATTGAATAGACACAGTCAGCTTCCCAGATACATGCTTCGGCCTGTAGAATGTGGAGTGCTTTGCTTGTAACTGCAGCGGTTGTCTCCTTTCATTATCGGTTAATGGTGCCCAACTTGACAGAGCCATGTGATAAACAGAGGAGCTGTGAAATCCTGGAGGTGGAGTTTCTCGTCTGCCCGATAATGGGATCTCATCTGCCAGGGGAGGGGAGCCTGCCCCGCCAGCCAATCCAGCTTTGCTGCCTTCAGAGAGGATTCACTGCACTCACCCTTCACCGCTGTCTGGGCCCAGACTTAAGCCCCTCAAACCTCCTGAAATCGTTGGCTGGTTTCTTCTTGTGTAGCCTGAGTTATCTTTGAATTCCTTCTTTCTTTCTTTTTTAACGCTTTGATTGAGCATCAGATTCCCAGGGAGGCGTGCATGTCTGTCCCCTTATCCTGAATCCTCTGGATGTTTGTGTAAAGGGGGGGGGGGGGCAGGCCGACTGTGTGTAAATATCATAAACATTGACGTTGTGAAATGTATACACACTGATACGGGAGGAGCTGAGGCTGCCGTGGTGTTGGGTTACTATGTGGAGGGGGAGTACGACTTGTCGGGACAGTTGCCTCAGGAGCTGGAAAGGGTTCTACCAGCACTTTGTTACCCCCCCCCAAACCTTCTGCTATTGAAACGGAAGACAACCAACATGGTTTGTAGCACAACGAAAGACCCCCTGCACACCACCCTTAACTCAATTGCTATTGATCCTGACTGCCTGTCTCTCCTGCTGCCCATGTTTTGGCTTTAGTGGGGAAGGGACCAGACGCTCAAACTATTTACTTCAGTTAATTGGATTGTAACAGCGATCCAATATCACGTTTTAAAACGATGGAAATGTGTCAAGCCACTCGCTCTGTGAAATGAAAATCACCCTATTAATTAGAACTTAATGCAGGCCATCTTTGTTTTCAAGCTCCTCTCGTGTGTGAGGTCATTGGTAGCATTGAGATGAAGAGGATTCAAACCGTAATGTATATTTTGTTCCATTAAATGAGTACAGAGACTGTAGAAAATAACCAGGATCATCATATTAGATGACATTAAATGTGCAGGCTAGCCATTAAAATCAGTCCCCCCAAATATTGCTAACGGACTATTCACATGATCATCCCTGCTTGTTTCTGCCTTTTTAATGGTTGGGGTGACTAATTAATTCATTATCCCAAAAATGCAAATGAGGTCCACAAGCCTGATCAGCATTCAGCAGCTTCCCTATTATGTATTTTCCCGCAGACGCGTAATGTTTTTCGACATAAATCCGCCACCTGTATTTAAGAACATCATTTATTTGTGTGTTAATCAGTAAAACGTGCCATTGCCGTGTTGAACACACACACACACACAGACACACACACACACACACACACACACACACACACACACACACTCACACACACAAAAAACATGCTGTGTGCTATTAAGGCATTATTAACAAGGCACTACTACTACTACTGGCTTTCACTGCTTTTCATTGTCTCGCTTTAGTGTTTCAGTCACATTCCCATAAGCGTTACCATTGATCGGTTGATGATGGTAGTAGGTCGGACCACTTTGGCTGCCATGCTTCCTGATGCGGTTGCACACACAAACAGACACGCACACACACACGGTTTCCCTACGGGGCTGCCATCAATCAACAGCCCCATTGGTGCCCCCCTCAAACCACACCACCCTTTTGTCCCTGACGATTGTTTTGAATCCAGTCCATGTTTTTGTTTCGCTCCGATTTTTTTTTCTTCTTCTCTTTTTTTTTTTTTGAGTGTGGCCGGGGTAATTCTCCTTCACTAGTGTCTGGATAAAGAAAGACTAGGTCAGCCATGTGGATGCGTCTGTTGAACAGCTGAAGAGGAGGAGGAGGAAAGGAGGAGGGGGGGGGGGGGGGG